CCACCTTAGGTGTATGTGGCTGGCGCCCTAGCTGCTTGAGCCACAGGCGCCGAGCCAAAGGCCAATGATTTAATCAATCATGCCTATGTAACGAAGCCTCCATAAAGCCCCAGAAAGACAGGGTTCAGATGAGCTCACAGATAGCCAAATACATGAAGATGCCTGGTGTGCAGGACACAACCCTGAAGCTTCGTGCTCCTTCCCACATGCTTTGCCCTTCATCGCTTCATCTGGCTGTCATCTCTGACCTTTGTAATAGCCTTTATTAAGAAACCAGTAAATTTAAGTAAGTAAAGTATTTCCCTGAGTTCTGTGAGGCACTCTAGCAGGTTAAATCCAGGGAGAAGGGTCATGAGACTTGATTTGCAGCCACTCAGTTAGAAGTATAAGTGGCAACTATTACATACATGCCATTGGCATCTGAAGTGGGAGGTAATGTCGGGGAACTGAGCCCTGTAGGATCAGACACTATTTCCAGGTAGATAATTGAATTATAAGGCACCCAGCTGGTGTCTGCTGAAGAATTGCTTAGTGTTATCTGGTGTCAGAAGTGTTATAGGAAAAACAGTTTTTTTCCCCTTCTGTCTCACAGAGCTGGATTAAATCCTTCCTTAGGTAGAGACTCCTGAGACATGCCTGTCTGTACAGGTAGGAGGAGTGGGCAATGATGGAGCTTAAAAGGCTCCATAGAGCTTCTTCCCCCTGAAGACTTAACTAAGAGGTCGGGTAGGAAAAGGAGGTTGAAGTTAGGATGAAGGTAGATGAAGAATCACCTGGAAGGCTTCTTAAACTCTCTTCAGAAGCACCAGAAATGTAAATGATCTCATCCAAAAAGAGGGAGTCTGCTATGACTAGAATTTGGCGATGCGGCCTAAGTGGACAGAGAAGGAAAATGGGAGATGAGAGATGGAAGTGCCAGAGACACATTTTTTTGTAGAATTCTGGATGCAGCCAGTATGCAGATGCCAAATTTAAGAGCAGATTTAGTTGAAAACGCTGCAAATCTCAGCTGCTTTTAGTCCAGCCCAAGCTCTGTCTGAGCACTCTTTGTACAGCCAATCTCTGCCTCTCCCCGGGAGAGGAGGACGTATGCTTCCTACCCTCAGTGCTTCCTCTTTGTGATCAGGATGAACGTCTCCCCTTAGGACTGTCAGGTCTGCTCTGTTTGGCACATGCTCCCTCCCCCATGTTTATTCTCCTGCCTGGTAGTTCTAGTCTCCTGAGCTGTAGTCATCATCCTCTTTTTTTCTGTCGATTTGTCTGGTTTTTAAACCTTCCATTTGTTTTCTTCTAAATTAGGGATCAGAAATTCAGATGGCTACAGATAACATAAACAAGGCTGCTAAGGTTTGTAATAGGCTGGAGAGTGCCCAGCTAAAGGGGATCATTATTTCTTCTTCTTTTTTTTTTGAGACAGAGTCTCACTCTGTCGCCCTGGGTAGTAGAGTGCTGTGGCATCACACCTCACAGCAACCTCAAACACTTGGGCTTAAGTGATTTTCTTGCCTCAGCCTCCCAAGTAGCTGGGACTATAGGCACCTGCCACAGCACCCACTACTTTTTTGTTGCAATTGTCATTGTTGTTTAGCTGGCCCAGGCCAGGTTTGAACCCGCCAGTTTGGGTGCATGTGGCTGGTACCCTACCCACTGAGCTACGGACACCTCCGGGGGATCCTTATTTCTTAGTTCTAGTTAATTGTTGCTATGAGGGCATACAGATCCATTGTTACCAGACTGTGAGATATGTTTCAAGAGAAGCTACAAATCTGAGAATTTAGTGTACAGTTTCTCAGTGATGACATGTTGGTATTTAATTCAGATTCCTAACACATAGCTGGAGGCTGCTTCTGGGCCAGGATTTTGCAACCTCTGCTCTAGATGTAATGTAAGTTTGAAGCTCAAAATCAAGCCCAGTATTAAGTATTTGATAAAGGGTATACCTGATTTGTTTTGTTTGCTTTATTGCCCAGTCTAGACTGAAACTCCTAGTTTCAAGAGATCCTCCTGCCTCCTCCTCTAGAGTTGCTGGGACTACAGGTATATGCCACCACACCCAGCTCAAGGACGTTTCCCTCTGCATCCTGTCAGTTATGCTCCATTTCTTTTCTTAGAATTGCTTTCTGGTCAATTGCAATTTTTTGACATGTTCCTTGAAAGATTGTGTGTCATTTCTAAATGGAAGCAGTTGAGAAAAAGAAACACTTGATTTGAGAGTATGTCTAATGCTTTTTCCCCTGTGAAAGAGGCATTCGCCAAAATGCCTAAAATTGATGACTAAGAAAATCCACACTACTGGATTAACCATGCAGGATAGAGGTTGGTCCCTGCAGCATTTTAGACCTCAAAATTTTGTTAAAAACCAAATGCTGTAGGCTGGGCTCAGTAGCTCACACCTATAATCCTAGCACTCCGGGAGGCCAAGGCGGGTAGATTGCCTGAACTTATAGGTTCAAGACCAGCCTGAGCAAAAGCAAGACTGCCTCTAAAAATTGCTGGGCACTGTGCAGGTGCCTGTAGTGCTAGCTACTTGGGAGGCTGAGGCAAGAGAATCACTTAAGCCCAAGAGTTTGAGCTTGCTGTGAGCTATGATGCCACTGCACTTTACTGAGGGTGACAAAAGTGAGACTCTGTCTTCAAAAAAAAAA